CAAACAGAAAAAAGCACACAAATACAAAAATAGATATCAACGCATAACTGCAATTATATTAATTTTATTTATTTTAACAACACTGGTTTTGAGAAGTCTTTTAAGCATCAGACTAAAGTCAGTATATGTTGTTTGTCTAAATTCATTTCAAAACTGCCTGTAGTGCGTGTATGAAATTTATTTAAAAGTAGGAAGCAATAAACAAGGAAGAGATAGATAAAATATCATGTCATAAATTTGCCAATGAAAGTTGTATTTTTTCTTAAAATTTTGTTCTTAAAATATTTACGAGAGAGAGAGAAGATAGAGGAAAAAATATATATGTGAAGTTGAACCAGATATTTTTTCAGCATATTTATATACTAACTTATATCATAGGACTTTCATTTTATTAGCGACAGGGTCTGAAGTTTAAACGATGTTTAAGAATATTTAAAATAGATGATCAGATGAATATGGATAAACCAATTTGTTATAGAATTGTAAAATAAACAATTAAGCAAATATAGAATAAATAATTTAATGGTTGCATGATCTTCATTTGATAATTTGGTGTTCTGCGTCTACTAGAAGCCACAAAACCACACGCGCACGTCTCAGCTCACTAAAGCAAACAAGCTGTTCCACGTCAAGCCAGAACTTGAAAAGATTTAACAAGAGAATTTAAAAGATAAGATTACGCACTGCTATATAATTTTTTATTATTCTGAACCGATATCGCAAGGAGGAGTGTTGCACATATTTCTGTTTAAACATGTGTGTGACATTCTTGCAGGCGAGAAAATATACAAATTAAAATGAAATTCATCTTTAAATCGAAATTGGTAATTTACGGGACAACAACTCAACAAAAGAGGAAGCCGCTGAACAGCAAAAGATATGATAAAAAACGTCTTAAGTTGTATTTGCACAAGCTGAATTACATTATAATGTGATGAAAACATTGCGAGTTGTATTTGCACAAGCTGAATTACGTCATAAACGAGCCGGAATAATGAAGAAAAGATGAGAACCTTTTAATTGTACGACAATTACTGTAAGAGCAATTACGTAGTTTTGTGCGATTAATATTTTATGATAGGACGAATGCATAAATTTATGTGTGCGCGTATATCTCTGTACATTCCGTTCAGTACGGCGCTTTGGAATGTTTACGAACGCATAAATAAACACACACGCACACAAGATAACACAAGAAATCATAAATTTTTTTTAAATTTTTTCAGCCATAACCCGTTTTTCAAACTTCAGTCAGGTTCAGACGAGAAAGTATGCACACAACTTCAATGGAATCATTTTTCAAATCTATTCAACGTTGACTTTTTTTTAAATAAAATAAAATAAATTTCACATCATTATGAAAAGAAAAAGAACGATATTGAAAATAATTAAAATTAGGGCGATAGATAAGAAAGATGGATGATGAAGATGATGAGGACGATGGTGAAGATGATTATGGTGATGATAGTATTAATAACAACGATGGTGAAGTGATAACGTTGATGATAACAATGGTGATTATTAAATTAATACAGGACTGTATTGCCAAATAATCAGAAGCGTTTTAACGTGCAAAGATAAGATCATTAAATCCAAATAAATTCAAACAAAATTAAATAAACTGCGAAATCATATAATTATTTACGAGATAAAAAAGGGGGCTATTATGAAATATCTCCATTTTTGAACAACGACACTTGAAATTATATTTGAGACGACGAAACTATCGCCAACAACTAAAAATAAGATTAAATAATACAATCACATCTCTTCATTGCAATAATACCAGAAAATAACGGATCAATACAAAAAACAAATAATTAATAATAGATAGTAATAATTAATTTAATCCACAAAATACATTGCAGACGATGTCCAGTCAGATAGCTTAGACATCAGCAATAGTCACTTCAACTTCTAACTTCTACACCAGGTTCAATCGAAATAGAGGTTTATCTGTTTCACAATCCCTATCTATCAGAATATAATTTTTAAATAATAATGGATAAAATTCTAGAATACAATTAAGCGAAAACCCAAAAATTAATCGTACATGACAATAGATTTATCTTAAATAAAATTCGCTATGAACAGATAAGATAAAAATTTGACTCCAACATAAAACACGAACCACTTTTTCAGAAACAAAGAAAAATAATTCACGACAATATTTAAAGTGTTCGATCAAAATGATAAATTAATCCAGAAGTAGGACGAGGAGACGATCTTTATGCTGTGCTGTTTTTTTAACCAACCAGATATACAAAAACACATCATAAGAAACAAAAATAATTTTTCGTGAGATCAAACGCATGTGCGTGTTATTGTACGTGTGTGTGTGTGTGGTGTATGTGTGTGATGTGTGTGTGTGTGTGGTGTGTATGTAGCGTGTACCCGTGCAAAGATGTAAAAACTATATACTCTGTCCATTCAACGTTTGAAATAATAAAAGAACTGAAATGTAACACAGGTAAAACAAAGACATCGGCTCAAATCGAAAGAAGATAACAAATCTTTTTTTTGGTATATTAAATTCGCACCAACAAGAGCAGAAAATGAAATTGATTTCGCACGGTAGCTAACGATGGTTAAAATTAAAATCATTTATATACTGGGTATATTGCACAATATTCAATAACGAAACTGAATGAAAATAATGACAAAATGAAATGTATAATTCCATTTTATTCGTACTATCAAACAAATCGACAATCACCCAATCAATCATTCTGTCGATCACACATTCACCCAATCAATCAATCAATCAATCAATCAATCAATCAATCAATCAATCAATCAATCAATCAATATATCTATCAATCTATGAAACTTTCAACTCTACCGACCTATCAATCACCGGTACCACCAAAGATCAATCAATCATCTTCCATCCACATTTGCTACCAGTTACTCAAAAATATGAAAAACAAAACATTAGATGGAGAGAGCACTCTGTAGACCAGAAAGAAACTTAGTGCGGATGTTTACAAGCAAAAAGGATGGTAACAATTTTGATTTTCAATATTTGTTACTGGCAGAATATATAGGAAAAAATATTCCTTAAAAATATGTGCACAGCTTTTTATCTGTACAAGTTTTCTATGTACATGAAAAAGTATATACAATACCAACATACAATATCAACATACAATATCAACATACATTATAAACATACAATATCAACATACAATATCAACATACACCGGCAACAACATACAAATAACATCAACATACAAATACAGCCAAAAACAACACGTACAGTATACAAGCATATAAAAACCTACAAACATACAAAATCTGGATACAAATAAACATACAAACATACAATACAATATTAACATGCAATACAAAATGTCAATACAAACAATCACCACGTTTTAACAGCAGGTCCCACGTATAATATTGAGTAATTGAGAATTTTAATGGAAAAATTTTTATGTAGTAAACAAAAAATAATGGAAAAAAAAAGAATAAATGAACAGAAGAAATATGCAAGCAAAAAGTGAACAACAACAATAGCGCAGAACACAGAAGTAACAACAAACAGTAGCTAAAAGTGAAAAAAAAATTTAAATACAATATCAACCCAAAGCTTTTTGACAAAACGTTTGATGAATAAAACACAAAAAAAACTGAACGTTTTTTAAAATAAACTGTTAAAAACTACAACGAAAACACTTCATTTTGAGAAAAAAACATCTTGTAATAAATTACTTTTAAACAGATTTTCGACCAGCTAACAAAAATCAATTTTTTGTCGTTCACTCTAAAATAAATTAAATTAAATTAAATAGAACATCAGTAACAACACTTAGGATAAGAACAACGTCAAATGCGTTGTTATAACTATAGCAAATCATCGCTACAAATAGCAACACTCTTAGTATGGTTTCATAGGAATCAAGGCTAAAATTAATTCAATTAGTTTTCAAAGTATTATGCACTACCGTGTAATATTAAAATTTATAATAAATTATGACAAATTATGATGAATTGTAAAAAATAAATAAATGAAAGGGTTAATTATCTTTCCAAATTATAGTTGATATTAATGTGCAACTTGATTGTGCGTATATGTGAGTACGTGTGTGCGTGTGTAGTATGAGTATATATTAAATTCGCGAAGAATCCACATTTCATACAAACTTTTTAAATATCCATTAAAACCTAGTGGTACATACATACATACATGACAATGTATAAATAAATTACACTAATAAAACAACAAACACATTATCACATAGAGGGCTCAGAAATAGTTAATGAATGTAAATGACTATCAAATGAAAAGATACTATTGATACTATTCTCTCTCTCTCTCTCTCTCTCTTCATAGATAAAATGAGTGCCAATCAATAGTTCTTTGGTGTACATACATGTACAATACGTGTACACAACGCCCACTCATATACAAATACTAACGAATAAATAAATACATACATACATAAGTGAGCCCGACAATGATTCGTTAAGAAATTAATTATATCCGAGCCATTCACGTTGAAATTAACAGCGTGACTATGTGGGCAGAGCTGTACACACAACACATGTGTGTATGGATGTGTGTGTGTATGTGTGAGTATGCGTAAATATGTATCCGTGTATGTATGTGAGAGTACGTACGTATGTATGCGTGTATGTACGTGAATGAATGGATGCGTGTGTGTATGTACATTGTACATGTATGTATGTGAGCATGCATACATATGTGTGTATAGGTGTATGTACGTTAGTGAGTGTATGACGTATAGTTGAATATTAATGTAGATACATATATCACTACTACAGAATTGACCAACAACGACGATAAATTGAATGTATTAAACAGATGTATCTGATATTAAAAACAATAAAATAACAAAAAAACATAATTAACGGAAATTATCTTTTGATTGATATTGAATAATAAATAAATTAATTAAATAATAAATAAATTAAATAATAAATTGATAAAAAGCGTTTAAAAATATTTCTATACATGTTTCATTTTGAAGTGAGTTCTAATGTGTTGGAGAATATTCTCCATGTAAAAGATTGCTATTGGCATCATCCTTAGTGCTATCATCATTATTAGTAATGACGTTGTCATGATCAACAGTTACACTAATGCTACTGCTACTTAAGTTATTAGCATTAATGTCAACGATATTCATGTTGCTATCATTATTATTATTATTATTATTAATATATTTATTATTGTTAACACTATTATCGTTAGCGTCATTTCTGCTATTATTATTGTTATGGCTGTATATGAGATTTCTGTTAGGTAAAATTCTGTTGTTGTTGTTCAAGTAACCATTACTGAGATACAAGTTAGGACTGTTCAGTACATTAACATTCTTGTAGAGTTTCACCTTCTCGAGTTTATAGCCCGGGCCTACGTAAACGATCGTCTGCTTCGGCTGGTTCAGTCGGCAGCAGACCATACTGGGCAGCATGAAAGCCAGCTGTTTGAAGCTTGGCCAATTTTTTGAATCTTCCTTCAATGTTAGGTTGATTTCGTAAAGAATTTCGTTGTTTACGTCGTCGTTGGCAGAGGTAGATGAATTCGAGGAGCTAAGATAATTAAAATTAAAATAATTTAAATAAAAGTAATTAAACTAAAATAATACTTCAAAATTCCTAATTCGTAAATAAACTCATTGTTTGTAGTTTAAGCAGAATGAAATTATTTAAACTCATTGAAGTTTTTTTAACATAAAATATTAATTACATGCTAATCTGCTGACAATTGAAAGACATAAAAAAAACTAACCAAACTCGTCCAAGATCAGTTTCACATCCGTCAAAATCTAGCTTAACAATTAAACGACCACCATCGACACCTCTAGGTTCTAGCTGCGACATGCGCACGACGTCAGCAGATATCCTTTTAATGAGATCCATAGGGACAAACAGACGACAGTGTCGATCTCTGATGGTGAAATCCTTCGAAAGCACCCCCGTCAACTTCTTCCTCAGCATCTCGACACTGCACTCATCGAGTTCCTCCTCCATGATATCATAGAATGTACTGTGACAGCTATTGTGGTCCAGGTCAAGCAGGGCTGCACATGGTAGGGAGAAAACATATTTCAAATTTTTAAAAAATAAAGAACAGGTATAAAATATCTTAACTGTATCTGACACCCAAGCGCATGATCCAAAAGATCCAAACGCATGATATTATACAAAGAAGGATTCCAAACACATAATACAGCAACATAATTCTTTAATTTTATACAAAAAATTATGCATCTGAAAACTGTTGTACTGTTATTCACAATTAAATAGAATAGCTACAAAACAAATATCATAAAACTTGGAACATAAATAAACATTAAACACATTACTAATATCATTGGCATGATGTGTTTGTTCTTTGAAAAAATAATATAAATATTTTAAAAAAGGATAAAATTGAAATATATGCCAAAAAAATTAAAATTAAATTAAAAATAACTGACCTTAATTTCAAATAAATTTTGATAACCCTACGTTATACCTTGACATTTCAATAACCACTACAATAACAACCAAAATGACATCATGAAGACAAACAACGTTATAATGATTAAATCTCACAAAATCCAACCTGGATTGATGTGATTAGAGATAGACTTGTCATCTGAATTTTCTTGAAAATCCCATCCTTGCAGATAATCAGCCTCAATGACGTTGTAGAGGCTACACCGGCTGGCTCTAGTGCTGTCGTTCATCCCAAACAACGACTTCGATCCTAAAAATGTTTCCTTCGTATCTGAACTTACTTCCATCATGAACTTCTTGAATGAAAAATGTTTTCTTTTCTTATTTCTGCATTGTTTGAACATTTTTTCGACGGAGATTGTAAAGAAATTAATTTACTTTCAATTAAATATATCTAATAAAATATTTTTATTCAACTCAAAACCAAGAAACTACAAAAATCTGTTTAGTTAGAGTTAGATTTTACAAGACAATATATCAAGACAATATATTCACGAAGAATGTGAATTCAATTGGTCTATCTACAGGAGAATTTATCTGAATGAATGAATGTATGTAAACATTTGAAGCATGTGCTTATTCATAATATTCATAACTAACTCATTCATCTTTATATACAACAGTGACAGAGGCAGATTAGATAGGACAGCAACAATGTAATTAGTCACATCATATATCAACTACACACACACTCACAAACACACACACATTTATATAAACACAAATCGGTACATATATTATAAATATATATAACTATATATAGTATACATGTCTGTTTATCTACTAAATATTCAATGAATGAATGAATGGATGAGTTACAAATCTTATAATCACAATTAATTACCATGTCTGCAGTATATACTATATATATATATATATATATATATATATATATATATATACACACACACACACACACACACACACACGACTCATTAAGCATGTATTTCTAGTCATATGCTATGTTATAACAACATTCCAACTATATTTGTTACTACTACTTAGTGGTGATTAGAAATTATAAAAGGATATGATATAAACAAGACAACTTTATTCATTCATCTTCTCTCTTTCTCTCTCTTTTGTTGTCTCTTCCTCTTTTTAACTGGTCTATCTAAGTGGTTCTCTATACTAAAATGATTCTAAATGAAATAATTAAAGCTATTATTATGTTATAGCAGTATTTTTAACATTGGCAATTACTGTTTTGAATAGTAACACACCAACTAACTAACTCTTGCTTAAACCATCATATATATATACTAGATTTTATTTAGTTTTATTATATATGTATATACTTGTATAGTATATAATATAATATATAATATATGCATTTAACTAAATAAGTATTACAATGAATATATATATATTATATATATATATAATATATGCAGTATGAAAGCATGCATACACTCAACAAAACATGAATTTATAGTTATACAATATATATATTTTTATGAGTACTGTAGACTTCAAAACAATTCATTGGAAGGAAAACGAGTTCTGATTAAAAAGATTAAATTAAAAGATGACCTGAATTATTATTATAATTAATATGTAATTAAAATAAATAAATCACCACTAAATGTGCTAGCTATTGTCTTATTAATTAATTAATTAATTGCAATTTATTTCTTAATCATTATTTTATTGGCATTTACGACTTAAACTAAAAAAACCCAAAAAAAGAAATTAAAGTTTCTTGTTTGGCCTTGGCTTGGCTGATTGCATTGTTCATTGTAATCACAGACTACTAAACTTAAAATAAAAAACTAGAAGAGAATTTGATGTTAATTTAACTAACTTTGTAATCAAAATTTTCGGTTACGCACTCGCTGAATGCAAACATTAAAACGATTTAATTTAAATGACTAGTTTAAGAAAAAATAGAATATTATTCGAAAAAATAAATTTCTAATGTTTATTATGCAAACGCTGAATAAATCGTATAGAGCTTCATTTTGTAAAATGTTCATATGTTGATCAATAAAATATTCTATGCAAATAAATATTGATAAATAACAACAAAATTCATTAATATTTACTAATATCTTGTTACTTTCTTTGAAATAAATAATATTTACCAATAATATCACGTAAATAAACACGAAGACGGAAAGTGGAGGCAGATGATGGGAAAACAAATGAAACACACTTCCAAGAATCCATCAAGTGTACCTATAAAAAAGTGCCTTGCATCCACGTTTTAAGATGGAATAGCATTTTTTTAGTTAATTGATACAAAAATCTACTAATACTGTTCTAATATATTGGTATTTAAGCGTTTTGTACTGGAATTATTTTCACATCGTATTTTTTACTGGAAGCAGAAGAGGCATTGACGACCAAGTGTTCCATATCGACATTTATGGGTGGTTAAATGGCTGAAGAAGTAGTATGGTTCAATTCCTATGTGTAATTCACTGTCATAAGTTTCTTCAAATTCACACAGCAATTATAAGCGAACGTTAACACTAATTGTCACTTTTTATGGATAAACCGGTGAAATTCCATCGTTTCGTGTTTTCCGGTTTCCCCAATATTAGCGAATGAAAAATTGGGAAGAATTTATGAAAATACATAATTATCACAAGGTATTTCACCTGATTAGGCCGTAGATACACATTATCTGAATTGGCAAAGTGGGCTACAATATGTAATGTAAACTTTGTAAAAATTCTAATGGCACATAATAACTGTGAGAATAAGAGCGCAAAAACACAACAACGTTCACACACACACACAAATTATTTTATTTTTATTTATTTCTTGTTCATTCATTCATTCAATCACTCATTCATTTAAATTTATATAAATATAGGTGCTTATTACTTTCAACTTTTT